ACACTTGATTGATGAAAAAAATCTTGAGGCACACCACCATTACAGCCCCGTGACGTCAGTGCGCAGCGTCACGCCGGGAGGGACGCACGAAAGTGTAAGTTTCAATTTTTTCCCCTCCCCCTTGCCGGGGAACCTCCAAGCTTTGGGGTGGGGGGGGGGAGGAGGCAGCAAAGCGAGGGACTGAGGGACTCCTCCAACTCCTCCTCCTGCTCGTCCACGGCCGGGTAGAAGCCGCTTGAGGCGCCGCTTGAGCTCCTTCTCCTGCTCGTTCAGGGCCGGGTCGCCGCCGTGAGCGGAGGCGGCGTGGGGGACCCCGCAGGTCAGGGCGAGTCGGCTCGTCAGCTGCCACGACAGGAGCAGGGCGGGCGGCGAGGGGGTGGCTGGGTGGGGGAGATCCCCCTCGGATCTGCTCCCTCTCAGGCTCGGTCGGCGCTGTCACGAAGCGAGATGAGGCTGGAAGGCGCCGCTCTCCTCCTCCCTCCGCAGCAAGCGTGGCCTGGCGCGAATCAAATCGCCGCTCCTGTCCCGTGCGCTCAGGTGGGCAGCTCCAAAGGGGCGCCCGCGTGCGCCGGCTTGGGGTGGCTGCCCAAGCGCCTTCTCTCTCTCGCCTCCTCCCACGAGTTCGGGGTCAGCCTCCCGCTCCTCCTCCGCTTCCTCCTGCCAGCCGCCGGGGTCTTTGGTCGCCGCAGCCTCCCGTCCAAGAAGCACCTTCACCCAGGCAAGGACGCGCGCGGAGCTGGCGAGCGCTGAGGGGTGGGGCTTTCGCGCCCGCCTCCCGAACCAGGAGGGCCGGGTCGCCGCCGTGAGGGAAGGGCGCCGGGCGCTGCTGCTGCTGCTGCCGCCGCCGCTCCCAGCAGGCATAGGCCCAGCTGAGGCGGCGGCGACTGTTGTGGTGGTGGTGGCGATAGCAGGCGGAGGAGGGGGCGGCGGCGGGGCCGAGGTGGCCGGCGGCGGCGGGGAGGCGGCGGCGGGTGGAGCAGGAGGGCGGCCGAGGCCGGTGAGGGAGTAGGGTTGCCCGGGGCTTGAGGAGCCGTCGCCGGGAGTTGCTGCTGCTGTTGTTGCTGCTGCTGCCCGGACATGCCGGCCTCCTCCTCGTCCGCTGTCTCGCGCTCCTCCCTTTGCGCGCGCTGCCCCCCGCCGCCGCCCCATTGGCCGGGTCCTGTCAGCTGATCCTGTGTTATTTCCTGTGTGTGTGTGTGAGGGGAGAATGGAGAGAGAAAACCTCGGCACCGCCACCGCGGAGCCGCCCCCGGCTCGAGGCGGATCCTCGCCGCCCGACTCGCCCGCCTCCTCCCACGGCACACCAGGCAAGGTCTCGCGGCACACTAGTGTGCCGCGGAACACCAGTTGGGAAACACTGTCTTAGACGAGGATGATCTTACCGGCAAAATAACAAGTCAAGCCTGGCTTGGGCGAGGGCCAAGTGAGCAAGGAATGGAAAATCCTACAGTCCATTCATACGTTCAGTACATAAGTAACATTCCTGATCTACTAAGCGTGACCAGAACAGAAGAATGCTGCAGAATCATGCACTCGCCCACTCCCACCATCTCCCATGTGAATTTCCTCTCCCTTCCGCCACTTAGTGTAACCATGAAGCAGTCTCACATCCCCCATCAGCACTAAGCATGCTCAATCCTATGCAAGTTCTAATCAGGAAGGGAAAGAAAAGTGTGCACACAGGAAGAGGGATGAGGCCCAAAAACACAGCCCTCTCCCAACCGGCTAACCACTGGTTTATCTGCAAGGGGTGAGCTATCAAATCCATAGGAAAGGATTCTATGGAAAGTTCGGAGAAGTTTCGTTTGTTCAAGCTGTTGCTCAAAACACTGGACAGATAAGACCTTTACATATGCCCACTATAATTTATATGTCACAGCCTGAATCACTGCCAATAAAGTATGGTGCTGCATTAAAACAAGTCTTCCACAAGTATGGAAGTATGCCATCACATGCCTTCCTTTCATTCATAGTTCTTTGTTTCCAAGCCAATGGAAAAACCCATACCACAAAGTTTTCACAACCATCACAGAATCATAGAGGGCCATCTAGTCTAGTGCAATCCCCTGCAATGCAGAAATCTCATGTAAAGCATGCAAGACAGATGATGAACTGTATTGCTGAAACGTTCAAGTCTACAAAAACATATTGTTGATGGGATATATTGCAATATCATCCCAAGGGAATTATTACAGAGCAGATTGAGCCCCTATACAGCAGCACACACTGAACACAAACAATGTAGCAGAAAAAAAGCACAATGGCAGAAATTGATAAAACTTTCTGAAGACATTCAAGCATGTTTTAACTACTCTCAACACAAAGAAAATCAGAAGAATCTAGAAGCTAAATGTTTGCTTCAATTGATTGAAAGTCAGAGTAATCCTACGGAAGGGGGAATAAATTATGTCACTTCCAAAACCTGGCAGGCGTCAACACAGGAAGCGAGGGTTCAGGATTTCTCAGAGGCCCCTTCCAGCCAGCAGAACTTCAAGTTAGGATTATACTATAAATGTTAGGACTATACTATATAATAAGGTAATCAGAAAAAGAACACAATGAGGGGGATTCATTCAAGGACTAAGGAAGCAGGAAGGAACAGAGTGTCAAGAGTGTAGTAAAAGATCGAGAGAGCAAAAGGGAAATTATATCCTGGGAAATGCCAGGTTTACAAAGGACTTTAAAATCAGCATAGAACTCCCTGTGCACTGGTTGACTCTGTAGCTTAGATAAATCATTAAGAAAAAAATTATATCTAACTGCTTTTTGCTGCTATTTAAAAAGAAAACTCAAGGCAGTATACAATTTTTAAAGCAGTGACTCAAAAATATACTGAAAGTTTTTGAATGCTCCACCACATCAAATGCTCCTTAAAAAGGTAAAGGTACCCCTGCCCGTACGGGCCAGTCATGCCAGACTCTAGGGTTGTGCGCCCATCTCACTCTAGAGGCCGGGAGCCAGCGCTGTCCGGAGACACTTCCAGGTCACGTGGCCAGCGTGACAAGCTGCATCTGGCGAGCCAGCGCAGCACACGGAACGCCGTTTACCTTCCCACTGGTAAGCGGTCCCTATTTATCTACTTGCACCCGGGGGTGCTTTCGAACTGCTAGGTTGGGAGGCGCTGGGACCGAGCAACGGGAGCGCACCCCACCGCAGGGATTTGAACCGCCGACCTTTCAATTGGCAAGCCCTAGGCGCTGAGGCTTTTACCCACAGCGCCACCCGCGTCCCATAAAGGCTCCTTAGAAGTACCCAAAAAGAAAACACCCTAGCACATCAAGAAAAAAGTTCCAGCCCTAGCTGCTCCCCACTGTGCTTAGTTTTCTACTTACAGTGAATTTCGTTATTAGCACAGAATTCAACATTTTGATGCCACAGGCTGAAGTTCAAACTGGTATACAGTGGTACCTTGGGTTACATACGCTTCAGGTTACATACACTTCAGGTTACAGACTCCGCTAACCCAGAAATATTACCTCGGGTTAAGAACTTTGCTTCAGGATGAGAACAGAAATCGTGCAACGGCGGCAACAGGAGGCCCCATTAGCTAAAGTGGTGCTTCAGGTTAAGAACAGTTTCAGGTTAAGAATGGACCTCTGGAATGAATTAAGTACTTAACCCAAGGTACTGTAGTCCATTCTACCACCACAGGACTCAAAGGTAATTCTACAGCACAAAGACCATGCCTTAAAAACCGCCCTGTGTGCTGTTTCAGGGCAACCAATTCACTCAAAATGTTGTGAACCTTGACTTCCTTGATTCTGCACCAAGTATTTGCTCAAATATTTCAAAATGGGGCTTCATTACATGTGAATTTACTAACTGCCAGCCAACTGACAATTCTTGGAAGAACAGAGAAGCACAGTAACAGACCTCACTCTGAGGAAGTTAATGAAACACAGAGAACACAGGTGTGAAGGTGGTAGAAAGCGCAACTTCTCTTTAAACGGATCAGTACCTTTTCCTCGACAAAGCTGGTGTGCCCCAAGGAGAGGGGAGAGAAGTCTCATTTGTCAGGCAAGGAGGGATCTGTTCAGCACGACTACAGACAAAACAAACGTGGAGGGGATAGAGAGGTTAGAAAAGAAAACAAGAGGCTAGAAGCTTTGTTAGTCTTACAGTTTCACCAGTAGAAATACATACTGCAGAATTAGCCAGAGCAAAGGACAAAGAGCACACGAAGTAAAAACTAAGACATACAAAACAGATAGGTGTTTTTTTTAAAGGAATAGATTTTCCTTTTCATTTGTTTGTTTATATTTTGAGTTATCTGCTTCTAAACAGCCTAATATCTTGAAACAAACTGATGCAGATCAGGGACTGATAACAGAAGACCAAGTTTGAATACATACTGATAACCAGATATGATTAAAATTTCATCAGGACTAACATAATATCCCAAGCAAGTCTGCAAAAATTAATGAGTTTTAAGAACAAAGGGGATGAAGGGAAGACAGATAATGAGGAATGGGAAAGACAAAATGGATTAGAAATACTTATGTAACAACAAAGCTAACCCAGATTTCTTAAATTCCAGTATTAACCAGTATCAGATAGAGTGCCCCCCAATTCTATCCACTAGAAATCTGAAATTACTATTTTACTGAGCAATTAAAGATCATGCCAGTAATACTTTATAAAAACGTTAAAATCAATTGGCAATATTTAACAAAGAGAAACCTAGAGTACAGCTAATGTTAAGGCTGAATTTGAAAACTGCATGAAGTTTTGAAGTCACAAAATGTGTTTGCAATTAAATAAAATAAGGAATAATGGGTGAAGGATGTTCCATGCCTGTGCCCCTCTCCATCAAAAGCAACAGAGCTATTAGTGTTACATATTACACAAGAAGCATCAAGGCTCAGGAAGTTACCAGCCTAATCTATTATTTTCCAAGACAGAAGTAGTAAACAAGCTCAGCAAAAGGAAATGGGTCTATGTTATGGAGTGTTAACTTTAAATGTACTGATTTTATGACCCTAGTACTAGCCACTATATATGAAAAGCAACAATCCTAGAGACCCAATGCTACTGAATATTCTAAGATACAAATAAGGTATTAACTCTTTTAAAATTCATTGAATTCAAAGTATCATTTAAAATCGTACATTTTTTTTTAAAAAGTCCCATATTTTATTTGAGCCTGTATTAAAATGGGCTCTGTTTTGATTTGTCTTATACAACAGAATGAAGAACCAACTACTGCCCTTAAACAAAAGACCTTAAAATAAACCTACAACTTTTCTTAGGCGTCTCAAAACTTACAAACAAACAAAGGGGAAACTGTTCCAACAAGGCCAGGGAATGGTGCTATCTTTTTTAAATGGTTAGGTAACTATACAGATTACTTTACAATACCGAAGTTGATAGAACGCCTGTTGCCTCTGAGAGTTGCAGAGGAGACAGAATTTTGGCAGAAGCAACTTGTGCTCAACTTGGCAAAATCCTCTCTTCTGTAAACTAATGGAAGTACAGCAGCCCTATCTACTTTTGCTTGCAAAGAGGACAGGTCGTTAACAGTCATTACTGCCAAAAGTTAGACCTTCGGTCCTACCCCAACCCCTTCTATGAATCATAATTTCCACATGCACAACCTCAAAGTAGGGATGCACCAGCAATAAATCATTGTCTACAAGACAGGCACTTAAAAATAGCTGCCAATTCTCAATCTCAGAAGAAAATAATAGCATACAACCCCCTTAGGGAACATCAGATAGAAATGAATGATGCGATTCCCAGACATAACTGTGTTTCCGACTCCACCCCAAACCTTGCCAATCATACCTGTCGAAAGAGTCTGTAGCTACTTTGTAGAGGTAAATAAAGAGTTTGCTGCAATGCCTTAACGTGGGTGACACCGAATCCATGGATATGAGGTCATCTTCCAACAGTCTTTGAAAGGGCTGAGTGTTTGAGGGGAAGATGTTAAAAGGGCTTATTTTCCTGGAGTCTGAGAAGCAGCCAAGTAACCTCACAGCATCGGCCAACTTTTCGTACTGGATCTCCGTTCTGAAGAAGTGTGAATTGGCTGGCTCATAGCGCATTGCTGCAGTCAAGGTACAGAGCACAGTGTGGAGCAGCTCAAACACTTGGTTCTGGTTCACTTTCTCCCAGCCATTCTTAGGTGGAGAGCACAAGGATCTTTCCATGGCAACAAGTAAAGATGTGACATACACAAATCCACCAACTTTTCTGAAAACCGTTCTCGTGCGATGACTCTCTTTCAGCACGGACAGCAGGGCCTACACGGATATTTAAACAAGACAGAACAAACAGGATGTCATGGAGGTCACACTACAGTGACAAAGGCTTCCGAGATTAATTTGAAGCATATGCACACAGAGAAGTTTTTAAATTTCCCCGAACAGTGAGTAAAAGTCAGCCTTGCCTCATCGATACAAAGAGCTTTTTCGAGTGATGAACTTGTAAACCAGCTTCAAGATTCAACAGAAATACAAATTTCTCTCTCTCTCTCTCTCTCTCTCACACACACACACACACACACCTCTACAATGAATGCAAAAACCAGGCTGAAGGAAGCTTTTGATTTTAATAACAATTGTGAAAAAGTAAAACAGTTGCAGTTCTGTGAACCATCCCAAGTTGTGGACTGAAAGAAAATGCAATATGAAAGATGTCCAGAACTGCAACAACGGTGGAAAACGGCTGCAAGTCAGTTCTGCTGACTGTCAGAATCTTAATTGGGGAATCACTTAAGCAAAAAAAGATGTTGGCTAAGTGAATTCTCGAAGGTTCATAAATGTGCATTATATTTTACAGAGAAGTTGAAAGAAGTGGATTTCTTATTTATTTGAGAATTATTATTATTCTTGCCTCAAATAACTTTTCAGTATTTATTTTCATGTTCATTTGTGTTGCCTGAGTACATGAATAAGATCAGTTCAATTTATCTGCCCCCACAAAAAAGGAAGTTTGAGATCAGTGATGTGAATTGAGATATAATTGCATCTGAAACAGTAATTTAATAAGAAGTGTTAAAACAGCCATACATTTTTCATTAATGTACTTACCCTTAATATGTCAGTCTTCAACTGTAATTCTGTAGGTGGAGCAGAGTGCATTAATCCCAAGAGAGTCCCCATGTCATCGTCGCCACTTGGTGATAACACCAGCTGCTGGATTATCATCAGTGCATGTTGCCTGCATTGTGGATATTTTACTATGTTATGTACACACCTTGCTCCACCAAACTCCCTGAAAATGCCTACAATGAAAACAAAGACAATGGAATAGGTATGATGCCACCAGGTAGATCTAGGCAGCACTTTCTAATGAACCACACTGGCACAAATGCTTGCAATTTCTGGGATCTCAAAGATGACTGAAAACATTTAAAATTGGATATAAAGGGTCTTACTTAGCTTGCCACTCAAGCGGATAAGCACTAAATAGCTGTAATACAAGCAAACATAAAATAGGATCTGCATGTTCTTGGTAATTCTGCAACTTCATTCAGGCTTGAGTGCAAATATTTATTATTTGTTTAATACATTTATACAGTACATTCTATATCCTCTTAAATCCAATATGCGCATTGGCAGCTTACAAAAGTTAAAACCATGCAAAAATTAAACCGCCAGAAACCTAAAAATAACCTAACAGCATATAAAAGCAGAAACAACAATCACAGCTTAAAATAATCAAGGTGCTCATAATGCCTGGCTGATGAAAAGAGATTTTGCCTGGTGTCTTGAAGTTAAGGGCTGCTACCAGGAAGTGAGAGGAAGTGAGAGCTGGACCATAAAGAAGGCTGATCGCCAAAGAATTGATGCTTTTGAATTATGGTGCTGGAGGAGACTCTTGAGAGTCCCATGGACTGCAAGAAGATCAAACACATCCATTCTGAAGGAATTCAGCCCTGAGTGCCCACTGGAAGGACAGATCATGAAGCTGAGGCTCCAATACTTTGGTCACTTCATGAGAAAAGAAGACTCCCTGGAAAAGACCCCAATGTTGGGAAAGATGGAGGGCACAAGGAGAAGGGGACGACAGAGGACGAGATGGCTGGACAGTGTTCTCGAAGCTACCAGCATGAGTCTGACCAAACTGCAGGAGGCAGTGGAAGAGTCGGACACGACTAAACGACTAAACAACAACAACAACCAGGCAAATCTCCTCAAGGAGGACATTCCACAAATGGGGTGCTGCCACCAAAAAAAGACTTCTCTTATTAAAAGGCAATTTTCTTGTAACAGATGGTAGCTGAAAGCAGGGAATCTCCCAATGATCTCACTATGCAGGTAGGTACAGGTGGTGGTATTCCCTTATGTGCTTGGTCCCAATCCATTTAGGGCTTTGAATTTGAACTCTTAACTGAATAGTCAGTCCGGGAAGTCTCTAAAAAAAACCCCCAAACTGGGAAGATGTGATCAGAGTAAGCAGAACCAGTTAAAACTCCAGAAGCCAACAGATACTTAGAGACCAGTTTCAGCTACATGCCCCTGTCCTACCAGACTCTTATTTCAGCTTCATTCCAAAGCTCTACCCCAGCCTTTGACAATCTGCTGACATCCTATGTTTTTGACTACAACTCCCATTAGCCCCAGCAAAGACGGCCATTTTATTCCAGTGATGTGTCCGGTTTTGCCATATCTCTTCTTGCCCTTGTGCAAGCACTTGGCCCCACCTTAGAAGACAGTACAGTGGTGCCCCGCAAGACGAATGCATCGCAAGACGGAAAACCCGCTAGACGAAAGGGTTTTCCGTTTTGGAGGTGCTTCGTAAAATGAATTTCCTATGGGCTTGCTTCGCAAGACGAAAATGTCTTGCGAGTTCCTGCAGGGTTTTTTTCCTTCCCCCCCTTTTTTCCAAGCCGCTAAGCCGCTTATCAGCTGATCCGCTAAGCCGCTTAACAGCTGATCCGCTAAGCCGCTTATCAGCTGATCCGCTAAGCCGCTTAACAGCTGATCGTTAACCGCTTAACAGCTGATCCGCTAAGCCGCTTAACAGCTGATCGCTAAACCGCTTAACAGCTGATCCGCTAAGCCGCTTAACAGCTGATCGCTAAGCCGCTTATCAGCTGATCTGCTAAGCCGCTTATCAGCTGATCCGCTAAGCCCGCTAAGCCGCTAATAGCGCTAATCCGCTAATCCGCTATTGGGCTTGCTTTGCAAGACGAAAAAACCGCAAGACGAAGAGAATCGCGGAACGGATTCTTTTCGTCTTGCGATGCACCACTGTATTGCAAAACTAGAACTGAATGAGCTCAGGTGAAGCTACAGTAGGCTCCATTGGGGAAGGAGGCACTCATGCACACTCTCAAAACACATCCATGAAAGAGGAAAGGAGAAATGTTGAAGCAATTACAGTGGTACCTCCCATCTACGAACGGTCCTCCTAATGAACTTTTCGGACAAAGAACGCCACAAAACTGGAAGTAGGTGTTCCAGCCAGTGAACTTTGCCCTGGGAAAGAAGCTGAATGGGGGAAGGGCGCCGGGGGAAGGGCGCCGGTGGAGGGAGGCTCCATTAGGGAAAGCATACGCCTTGGCTTAAGGACGCTTTGGCTTAAGAATGGACCTCTGGAACGAATTAAGTTCGTAGACGGAGGTACCACTGTATTTCAGGCGTGGACGAAGATCATGATCCGTGATAAGGTCATGTTTTGTCAGGGAACAGAAGTTGCTAGACTGCAGTAACATGCCAGTAATCATATTCTTCCTATTGTCAAGACCAGGCTAATACAAACCTACCCCACACTAAGAAGCAACCATTTATAGGAAAAGGCTATTGATTTAACTTTTGATAGACTGTGGTTATCAGGAGACGCAGGTGAAAGTAATAATTCATCACTAAATATATTTTATTCAAATAAATGCCCCTTAAAACTACAAATTTAAATATCTGAAAGGCACCATTCTAGAATAATCTTATCCTCTGCTAAGGGAAATTCAAGCAAATCTGGCCAAGCAAATTAAACAAATTCAGTATTCTATTAATGTATCCTCCTTCCAAGAAGGTCAAAAAACCTGCTTGACACAGCATTTCCACATCTAAACAGATTACATAACTCTATATTGGTCTTTATGATTTAAGTGCATTTCAAGGGCAGCTGTGAGCATTAAGAGACATAGGTTCATTCGTTGTAACAGCCATTTGCCAAATACCTGCATTTGTGTTCGATCCTTGAAGCAGTACTGTCAAGGTCTCCATAACCAGCAAAGCAAGCTGCTTTTGGTCTTCAAATGAACTGTTGTTTCTTGAGTCCCCTAGAAAACAATTTCGAAAAGCTACAATGAAAGAAAATGCAGTGTATATATGCCCATGCTATTACCAAACTGCTTATTAATTCAGAGTATCGCTCCTATATTATATGTGCTGGCTGGTGTACAACAATCACTTTAAAAAAATGCTTAATCATGGTACAGCAGAAGGTGGTGTTCTACTTTGGTACATTGAGCCTACCTATACTTTGCATCTAGTGTGAAGTATTGGGATACAACTCAGAGGCAAGTCTATAGTGCATCACTATGTCACTCATGTTCATTTTAGTTTCAAAACTAAGTGAGAGTTTAAAAGGCTCTAGCAGGTTGTCTTACTCTTGTAAGCAATACCAATGTCTCGTGAGATTCTGCTGAAAACTACCGTATTTTTCGCTCCATAGGACGCACTTTTCCCCTCCAAAAATGAAGGGGAAATCTGTGTGCGTCCTATGGGGGGAATGCAGGCTTTCGCTGAAGCCTAGAGAGCTAGAGGGGTTGGTGCGCACCGACCCGTCTCGCTCTCCAGGCTTCAGGAAGCTATCAGCAAGCCTGGGGAGCCTGCGGGAGTTCCCGCAGGGCTCCCTAGACTGCAGATAGCAGCCTGCTGCTTGGAGCACGGGGCGCCCTCTGGAGGGCGCCCCGTGCTTTGCGCAGGTGTCCGCAAGCCTTGCGAGCCCGGCGGGAGTTGCCGCCGGGCTCGCAAGGCTTGCGGATAGCAGCCTGTTCTGGGGGCTGGGGTCGGGGGAAGCTCGGGCTTCCCCTGCCCCAGCCCCGTGGCTGGGGGGGGGATAATTTTTTTTATTCATTTCCCCCCCAAAAAAGGAGGTGCGTCCTATGGGCCAGTGCGTCCTATAGGGCGAAAAATATGGTAACTGCCTCTTTTGGGGAGAACTCGAAAGGTGGTTTTGGAGGAGGGCTGATGATTTAAGGAATAAGAGAAATCTGAACCTACATAGGTTTTATGGGCAATAGCATATTTTTTTGCAAAGTAATGCAAGACAGGTAAGCATTTCCAATAGTATAAAAAGAGGTGATAAAAAAAGAACAAGATAAAAGCAGGATTTGAAAGAAACCTTGGTCAGGGGTAGGGGAGGAGGAGAAGAAGATAATTACCTTGATCATTCAGAGCCTGTGTAGGCTCTTTCAGAAGAGCTGCATACTTATGTAAAAGGTTCACCATCACCTCCAGGAGTCCCACCTCCCTGAAGACGTCCTTAAAGATGTAGTCATGCCGTGTGAACTTAAGTAGTGTCTTCATTGCAATGATGCTACATGGGTAAGAGGTGCTGGATTTTAAGAGGATGCTGACGCTGATCAGTTCTTTGCAAGGTATGTAATTCAAGCTAAACACAACAAACTCAAGCATCTCAAAGTATTTGGCCTGTACTTCTGGAAGCTTGGAAATTTTCTCTGCAAACTGGGACAAAGTGTGCTGGGATTCCAAGATGAAATAGTTGGCATTGTCGGCAATGTAGATATTTAAGATGGCATCAAGGATAATTTGTGCAAGGTAGCTGGTTTTTGCCTTCAGGAAAGCATTCTGTAGGACAGAGAAGGCTTGGATATTCCTCACATTGTGACCTACAACAGGAAGAAGGGAAACTTTACAGATCTTTACATAAAGGTTATTATTCAAGCATACAGTTCGTCACACTTTATTCTCTAATGCAAATAACTGCATATGAACAGAGCCTGCAGATGAAAATGGGGTAGTAGTGGAGGCTCCTCTTTTTTAAGAATAGCCACACCATTCCCAGAGGGGGGAGTGGACAGGAGGCAGCCCCTAGAATGATTAGGATGTGTTGGAGGGCTCCAGTGGCAAAGAATGGTGGGAAAGAACATAATGTATTGTTCTTACATAGTATGGTATCCTATGTAGGCTAGGCATAGACAGATCCAATCAATACCATCATCATTGTATTTTATTTTACAGTGCTAAGCAATATAAAATAGTAATTGAATATCGGTTTATGGGTTGCCTCAAGAAGCAAAGGTGAGCTTGTGGTAAAGTAGAGGGTCAAGTTGCTCACACTATATTATGGACTGGAGGTCTGAGAAAATTTCTGAGCCTTCCTAATTCTACACTGTTAAGAATCTGAGATCACCATCAATTCCAGATCAAGCCACTGCAAGCAAATTCAGGACTATTAAATGTCAGATTAAATTTTGCATGTAAGGGACTTCTTAAAAAGAAGAGAAAGCTCACCTTTGCCTGCAGGTTGTGGGACGGCAAATCCAGGCAACAGAAAAGGTGCCCCTGTAGTAACACCTGTTGGCTTTAATTCATTGACACCATATGTTGTTAATGAGGTTATCAAATTCACCAAGTCCTTCAGAGCATCCTTAGATTCTGCTTCTTTTGCTTGTTCTAACCTGCAGGGATGAAATTCACACTCATCTCAAAACAAGGCCACCCATTCAAATCAAAATTTGGAACATTTTTTTTTTAAATCACATCCAATTTCATGTGTTCTCCATAAAACTTGGTTCTTACTTAAAATAACAACCTACAATAGCCAACACTACACCACATCAAAAGATTAATTACTAGACTAGCAAGACTAAAACCAAAACCCTAAAATAAAGTGTAGTTTCAATTTGTGACATACCCCTCCTTGCATTGTTACTTATAAGAATCTACTGAATTGGTGGCATTCAATTTTTCAGCTCCAAAAATGATATGTCAACACAGATCTTGCTAGGATGAAAATTGCATTTGAAGCAATAAAATAAATTTGCAAACCTGGTTTGCATACCTGAGTAAGAGATCAAAGAGGAAGTTGTATCCTTGCCATATCCTAAAATCATCTAAGAGTGTTTGGGAGACATCACTGGAATCTTTGAGGAAGCAAGAAAGGCCAGCAAACATCTCAACTATTTCTAAGGGAGAAAGGTCATCCGATTGTTGCATGTTTTGAACACATGTTGACAGGCATTCTTTTTCTGTAAAGACAATAAAAACCCCCAGCATTTTTCATATTATACAAAAATTACCAAGTACAAGTGTTCTCATACATGATTATCAACTAGTTGGTATCAATCCATTTTCAAGAATGATCTTATGTACTGAACTAAGAGCTATTTCACACATTGCAAAAAAATAAAAACAGATGGTTGGGACACCTATATTATACATGTCTAGGAAATGTACAAAACGGGAACTTTGACATCTGCACATATTCTACATACATTTGCAAAGCTCACACTATACTAGAGCAGATGTGCAATTTCCCCTTTCACCATGTTACACAGAACTACAAATCACATCCACTTCTTGCCATTTGTCAGGATGTGCAAAATAACTCACAAATAAGAACCTCAATCGTATCTCTTAAGAAAACACATTTTCTTCACTATGCATCTTTGAGTGTCTGACTATATCTTGCAAAATGTGAAAACTGGCAAGGCAAGATAAAATGTTATTATTATATTATATTATATTATATTATATTATATTATTATAGGTAAAGGGACCCCTGACCGTTAGGTCCAGTCGTGGACAACTCTGGGGTTGCGGTGCACATCTTGCTTTATTGGCCGAGGGAGCCGGCGTACAGCTTCCGGGTCATGTGGCCAGCATCCGGGTCATTGGCTGAGGGAGCCGGCGTACAGCTTCCGGGTCATGTGGCCAGCTTCCGGGTCATGTGGTGAACCAGAGCAGCGCATGGAAACGCTGTTTACCTTCCCGCCGGAGCGGTACCTATTTATCTACTTGCACTTTGACGTGCTTCTGAATTGCTAGGTTGGCAGGAGCAGGGACTGAGCAACGGGATTCGAACCGCGACCTTCTGATCGGCAAGCCCTAGGCTCTGTGGTATAGACCACAGCGCCACCCATGTCCCATAAAATATTATATTATAATTATTATTACCTCTCTCTCTCTCTCTCTCTCTCTCTCTCTCTCTCTCCCCCCCCCCTCCCCCTGTATACTACTCTTCATCCAAAGATCACAGGGCAGTATTAGAGCAGGTAAGGGGAACCTTTGTTACACTACACTCCCATCTTCCCTGGCCATTGGCTATGTTTGCTTGGGTGGATGGGAATTGTTGTTCAGCAACATCTGGGAGGCCAAAGCTTCGCCAACCCAGGTTAGAGTATGGAAAATCCAGGTCTCCTGATCAAGCCATGAAACTCACTGCTCTTGGGCAAGTCACCATACCTCAATGCAGTCTGCATTTAAAAACTGCTGTCTATATAATTGTAGAAATTATAATTATAACTAAGAAATAATTATAACAACATATTGAAAAAGAAAACACCCTGAACACTCTACCCAACATTTGAACAGAGTTCCAAGCATAAGCACCAGTGGCCAACCATTCTGGCTTAGAAAGTAACCATGCAATTCACCCTGCCCATGACATCTCTGGTACTGTTACTCCCAGAGCAACAAAAGACGAGGCCAAATCAAAGGCAACCATGCCATATGCATATTGAATACAAGAACTCCACAAATACATACAGAAATAGCGGGAATGTCCTAGCATAAGTGCAATTTGCACTATAAAAGATAATGGCTTCTGACTGTGTTACTTATCAGAAGGAAATCTGCTGTGTGTGTGTAGCTCCTTATCGCTTGAAGAGTCTACATTTGGGAAAACGGAAAGCCTTGGATAATCTGAATGCTTTTATTTGCAACAGGTGTGCTCTTATTCAAAGCATGAATATAATTTGGGTGCCATATATCCATGTTACAGCAGAACTAAATTACAATTCCTGGACTTTATTTTAAGCATGAGTGGATGTATTTGAGCAGAACTCTGTATGGTATACTAACTACAAAACTATAATGGCATAAGGCAGTGGCATAATCTGTTACAAATGTTCCACAGAAGAGACGGGAAGCAGTAAAACAGAAGCAACTACCCAGAGCTGTCTCTGCAAGAATCTAATGCTCTATTACACGTAGATAAGGAACAGGAACTACTCTTGGGAGCTTTCAACATCAGTGGAAGTGGCAAGCCCACAATCATTCATGTAAGAAACAACTGTGCATTTTGCTAGCCAATACTGAGGTACAAAAAATAGGTTCTTCTTCCTACAATCCCTTTTACGTCATCGCTACTACCAGTTTAAACCAAATTCAGTTTCCCCAGCATGTACACAATATGCAGTTGATCAATGTGCTCTGCTGGTTTACTGAAAGCACATCATCTATTTCTGTCACCTTGTTCAAGCAACAGAAATAGGAGGGTTTATGAAACATCTGGTGGGACGGCAATAAATGCCAGGCAGGTCACAAAGGGGGCAGCAGGTTTGAGGGCCCTGATTCAGAGTTAGGCCCGTCCTATAATTTTTCCAGTTGCGTCTCCACTGTTTTCAGGATAGGCACCACCACCTCAGTTACGTCCACATGAGTTAACACACCAATATTCCTATTTCACAAATGGGAATTTAAAATTAGGGATTAAGACCAGATCGTGGTCACCCAGACAGAGAGAGAGAATCCAACGATGATAGAAATTATTACATGACTATATTGAGAGAAAAACAAAATCACAATACAACACCAAGATATACCAACCGTGAATGTATTTCACTACATTGACACTAAGGCCATGACGTGATATGGTCATTAGGACTTCGCCTGCACTCTTTCTCCAAGGCAGGTTATAGGGAGGGCACCATGAGGTTATTGCACTGAATAGAAGCTGAAGATCATCCTTTTGAGCAAGTTCTTCCGCCGGGGACACAAAACTGCAGAGTTTCACCAAGATCTGAAACAAAAGGCCATTATAGGAAGCTCATATAATTGCTACCATAAGCATTCTGTTTATTGTAATTTTCATTTAGTGAAGAAAGTAGGCAGAATTAAGCAACTCCTTGGAATCAGTTCAGTGCAACTATATTAATTTTCCAAATGCCACTGTGCACTTATGGAAGTTTCTCTCATCAGTAACCAACTTTATTTTAAAAAAATAAAAATAAACTTTTTTGGGGGGGTGTTGCAACAAAGAAAAACATGTAGACGCCAAAAAAAACAAGTAGGTAACAGAGAAAAAGTAATATAGAATAGCAGGATAATATAACACCTTGATTTGGCCTAGGAATTGTAGAGTGTAAAAGAATTCAATGCAAGAACCTTTTTCCCCAATGCATCCTTTAGGAGATGAAACAGAATTTGAAATGTAATATTGTGGTTACAACTCATTTACCTGCACAAACACTTTCTGCAATAGCGTTCTACGTTCTGCTAGAGGCAGCTCATTCTGGGCTCCTCCAGCCACCTCAGGCACATGTGGAAGGTCAAAAAACAGATAGAGACATTTCACAAGCGTGGAAGGCACTGACATAGTCGTCATGCAGTCCACTGTTTTCTGAGGGCAGAAAAAGAGTGGAGACAAAATGTTAGCGTAGCATTCCTAGCACAATGCAGTTTGTTCTGAATTCCACCTACTCTGTTAGAAATTATCCAGCTATATAGCTTCTAGAACCTTTATGTGGAAGTCATAGAATACTATTCTTGAAGCAAGTTACTCTGAAAATTTTCAAAAGAAAAAACCATTCTCATTATAATAAAAGGAAAGCTTTTAGCAACATTGATATACTGTGCACGCACACACAGAGGAACAAGCTGGGCAGCCCCATCCCATTTCCCAAGTGGAAAAAGAGCTTTAACCCAGGAAAGAGTACCAATGGGAGAAGCTTAGTGCACTTCTAACTAGCTGGAGAATACACACAGAGCATCAATTTTTTCCTCAATGGAGCACTCTGGCACCTGTTTCATTCATCATATTTTAGGTTTTTTCCTTCCCTTAACGGGGAGTACGACAGAAGGCAATGGGAATGGGAAGATCTAGACCAAAATAGGGGCCCACTTGAGGTATGCTATGCTCACCCTGCTTCTGTTGGTTGTAATTTGAGTAGGAGAAATCACACAGTAGAGCACTCTTGTTCTGAATGCTCACCCCCATCTCATCTTGAGATGGGGTATACAAGAGATGGTATACAACGTCCGTCAAAACCTAGTGCACAAAGTCTGCCCTATTATCTTAAAAATCGCAAAGAACCCAACAAGCCCCTGCACCGTTGCGTTAGTAATTGCACACAATGATAAATGAGCTTCTCCCAGTTTTACGTCAAGATCTGCACATCTCCTGGGTATGTAACATTGAGGTAATATTTTGAGTTGTCCTTGTCCTCTCCCATCATAGCCAGATTCTACACCTAGAAGCTTCCCTTTCTTCTTTGTAAAATGCATGATCTGACCATATCTCATCTACGCTACTAAAGCCTCCTCTTTGCTGTCTTTTAGCCTACCATCTCAGGCTAAAATCATTAATGCCTTTGCCAAAATAACCCCCCCCCCAAAATAATAATAATCACTATGATCATGTATAGATTATATTCATTAATCACTGGCCATTTTCCACAATGTGTTCTGTTGCCTAGTCTGTTGAAGAACTCCCAACACCAGCACTAGCTTTCCCTGTCACATGCTACTCGCTGAAGCTCAGTGAATATCATTCTACCTTTGCTGTCTACGCCAGTTTCACCTTCTATGCATGATGGCGCTCTAGCCCCAAGCTTTGGAGTTCTGACATGCTATATAGAGTATGCAGTTTCATGTGTGCAATATTTTCACATATATACATATTTCCTCTCCTGCCCACCTAGCAGTTCGAAAGCACCCTTAAGTGCAAGTAGATAAATAGGTACTGCTTTATAGCGGGAAGGTAAACGGCGTTTCCGTGCGCTGCGCTGGCTTGCCAGAGCAGCTTCGTCATGCTGTCCACGTGACCCGGAAGTGTCTTCGGACAGCGCTGGCTCCCGGCCTCTTAAGCGAGATGAGCACGCAACCCCAGAGTTGGTCACAACTGGCCTGTACGGGCAGGGGTACCTTTACCTTTACCTTTACATATTTCCTAAAATGAATGGTGTGGCCTAAAGCTATGTGCACATAAGAAACAACAGAGGATTCTAGATCAGACCATAACCTTTTAACCTCCAACCTACAGAGACGCCTAACAGGACTTTACAAGGTCTTTCTTCTTCTTTTTATCACTGGATGACTTCGCTCACATTGCTTAGAAAAATGGCAAACAATATACATCTCTTGTGTTTCAAAATCCTCATTTACTAAATACAAATACCTCTAAGAGTATTTATAGGTACACGCTACACAGTACCAGATTCTGTTCATGCATAACTAACCTGTCCAGATGAAGCTAACAAGTTAATTGTAGTAAGCAACATCCAGCCTCTACTGGCTTCTTCACTCTGATTGATCTCCAGAAACTGGACTATGGCACGACTTGCAGCCTCTGGAGTTAATTAAAAACAACAACAACAACAGAAGATAAGCAAACACAATATTAAAGCCAGTTTCTACTTATACAATATTAAAGCCAGTTTCTACTTATACTATATATAGGCAAATTGTTCCTTCTCATGTTCCAGCTGCTTAAAAACTCCCATCTTGAATCCAGTTTTGCTATGAAGTGCATAATCAGCATGAAGACAATCAAGACTCACTTTCCTTTCATGTCTAATTACACCCTTGTCCCATTCATACTTTGATGAAGGCAGGTGAGAATCATTTACTATCTTCAGTGACAGCCAAGAGTCAGTCATCTCTCGAAGAATGTTGTTATGTGAATATTCAACTTCTGATTGGACAAAGATAAACTAGGTGCTATGGTATGAATTTACCTGTAGACTTGTTAGAGGCTCTCCGCCGAATTTCAGTCACCATCAATCGTGACACTTGTGTTGTAAACTGAAGGAGATCTGAGAATTTTTCTATCATTGTACTAGGGGGTGCATTTCCAAATACCTGCAGATAAGAAAATACTATGAACACCACAGAATTTATGGCAGGATTCAACTAAAGTGACCCGTCAGTGGAAGCCCTGGAGAAGGACTTCTGCAAGTGCAACAGAGATTCTTGCCACCTCTTGCACCTCCCAAAACTGGCTTGAGGGGTGTTGTGAGAATCCCTGGAACAGCAAGGCAGGAGAGGGGGCACCATTCCATCAATACGCTGGTAGAACAATAATCTTAGTACAGTGTTGAATTTCTCCCCAGAAAATAAGTTTTTGCAGACATACAAATCCAGTCACCTCTTTAAATTGGAGCATTAGATGTTTAGGGTACAAAGTCATTGAACAGAACTTTGATTGTTGAATACCCTCCCCTCACAGATGCAGTTGGGCTTCTCCCTTGTATACAATTCGACACTGGGTCTCAAGAGAAACCTTCTTGTCACAGACCTTTAGGGGTGTTAGACATCACATGCAGCTTAATACAATAAAACCATGTAACATTCAAGTGACCAAAAGCCCACAGCATGACTGCTGCAACTGCATGTTGGAGGGGTGAGGGAGGGGTCTGTATCTGTGGGTCACAGGTATCAAATCAAATCAAAACTTTATTAGCAAAGCCAACAGGCCACAGCTGTACAAGAGTTAAAAGTGAAAATAGGGATAAAAGGAAGAAAAGAACAGGCAAAAGGAGGTCCGTCGGGTGAACAGGTCTGTCACTCAGATGGTGGCCCTCAATTTCGCAGCTCTCTCGATGTACCTCGCGACCTTCTCTGTTATCTGACTATCCGTATCAGATAATAGAAAATACAGTGTAATGTCTGGTGAACGGCCGGGGTTGGAGAGAATGAGTGGGGTAATAATCTCATTCCTTAGGTCTTTGTAAAGGGGGCAAGAAAGAAGGACGTGGGACACTGTTTCCGTGTTACCATCTCCACATGGACAGAGTCGTTTTTCAAATGGAGTCTTTTGGTAACGACCTTCGAGTACAGCAGAGGGAAGAACATCCCATCTAGCCAATGTAAAGGCACGTCTGTATTTTGGGATGGTTAGTTTAGACAAATATGAAGCTGGAGAGTCAAAATGAGAAGGGGGAAAGTAGGTATACCATGGGCACAGTTTCTTTAAGATAGTCAGGTTGTTTTGTCGTTCAATGTCTTTCAGGCGCTGGCCTATCAGACTCTTTGCTTTAATGAGGCCCATTGATAGTAGGGACTGTGAGTGCAGACCGCATGTAAGGAGTTTTTGATGCACAGTTTTAAACCACTTGCTTTTATGAGGGTCTTGCATTACTAGCGGCAGTAGACCAGGTGGATTCAGATTAAGACGAAGCCAATAATTAAATGTTCTCTGCCAGGTCCGAGTTTCCACAGATGGAAGGCAGGCCTCGAGTCGTAATGCTGCGTTTGGAACACAGGAGGGGACGCCGAGTATCTGCCTTAGAAATTTGGACTGGACAGTTTCAAGACTGGAGCAGTGGTTCCCCGTCCAGATTTGCGCCCCGTACAGTAACTGCGCCAGAGGTTTTGCTTGAAAAACTTCAAGGGCTGCTGGGATGTATCTGCCCCCCTTCGTGTAGAAGAAGCGGGACAGCATCTTGATGCTTTGAGCAGCTTTTTCTTTGGCACATTTTTGATGGACATCCCAGGACCCGGTCGACTGGAAAACGATACCCAGATATTTGAAGGCTTTGACTTGTTCAATTGTCTGGTTATCCATCCTCCAGCTGTACTGTCTGTGTTTCCTTGCAAAAACCATAATTTTGGTTTTCTGATAGTTTATTGCAAGTTGCTCTCTCCTACAGTATGCTGAGAATTCACCTATGAGCCTATTTAAGCCTATTCTTGTTCGAGATAGGAGTATCGCATCGTCAGCGTACAAAAGCACTGATATTGCTTTGTCAGCCAGTTTGGGGGCGTGGAAGTCTGGAGATGACAAACAGTTAACCATATCATTGATGTAGATGTTGAATAAAACTGGGGCCAGGATGCAACCTTGCTTGACCCCCTTACTGACAGGAACTGGTCCTATAAGATGGCCATTTAACGAAGTTCTTACATGCAGCACCGTGTCTTTGTATAAACAGCTGATCAGAAATAATAGTCTTTTGTCTATGCTTGAGGTGCTCAATTTATCCCAGAGTCTTACACGTGGAATTGAATCGAAAGCAGCCTTTAGATCGATAAAGGCTGCATATAACACCCCACGGGATTTTTTGGCATATTTGTCAATTAAATAGGCTAGGGTGAAGCAATGGTCTATGGTGGATCTGCCTTGCCTGAAACCCGCTTGCTCTTCTGCTAGAATAGCTTCAGTTTCCAGCCAGCTAGTTAGCTTGGTATAAAGATGTTTGGCATATAGTTTGCTGGGTATAGGCAGAAGGCTGATTGGTCTATAACTCGCCGGATCTGTCATGGGTCCTTTTTTATAGATTGGGATAATTATTGCCTCAGTCCAACCATCTGGGAGTAAACCCGTTGAGTCGATCCAAGAAAATAAAGACGCCAGCAGGGGGGCCCACCAGCCAATGTTGGACTTCAGAAGTTCGGCAGGGATGTAATCATTCCCTGGGGCCTTGTTGTTCTTTAATTGTGCGATTAAATTCTCAACTTCCTTCGCAGTTACTGCTGGCCAATGAGGTAGGTCCTCCAGTTGAATGCATAGTTTGTAATGTTGGGCTTCCTGGTCATAGAACAAAGATTGAAAATGGCGCAGCCACTCCATTGGTTCCACTGTACAGATGGAATTAGTACGCTCCTGGTCCAGTAGACCAGATATGGTTCGCCAAAAGCAAGTAGTATCTTTCTCGTGCGATGCCTTAACCAACCTGTGCCATGCGGCTCTTTCAGCTTCCAGTTTCTTTCTCCTTAATAATTGTTTGTACGACCGTCTCAGATAAATATAAGCATTAAGTAGGAGGGCAGTCCCTGATTTCCTGTATCTCCGGTAGGCTGTTCTCATTTGTCTCCTTGTTTGCCTGCACTCCAGGTCAAACCAGCTAGCTCCGTCCTTTGCCCTCTTTGTAGCGGAGCTATGTATCACTGTTGTTAAATGGTGTTTCAATCTTTCCAAGAGTAATTTAAAGCGTTCCATAATCGCAGCTGCTGAATTTCCTGATACAATAGCGGAGCGAATAAGCTTTAACTCCACTGACTGAAGAAGGAGGGTTAGGTTTTCATTCAATATTGGGGACCATTTGAGTCTTTTGGGGGCAGGTATATCCACATTTACAGAAGGTATATATTGTGGCTCGGCAATAGAATAGTCAAAAGGCCGACCTGCAAGCTCTAAAATTAGAGGTAGGTGATCACTCAGAGTATTATGGCCCACTTGGAACTTCCTTATAAAGCTGTGAGCAAATCTTGAGATTAAGATATAATCTATAACACTTCCCCCAGCCTTGGAGAAATGGGTATATTCCCCGGGGCGGTCCCCCTCTATATTGCCGTTTAATATCAGCAGTTCCCTCCGTCTAGCAGCCTGCACTAAGCAGAGACCTGGGAAATTACTTCTACTATCTTTGGACAGACGTGTCGCGCCAATATCCGTCTGTTCTTCAGGGTCCATAAATTGGTTGAAATGAGTGTATAGACTGTTGTCATCTGTTCCTATACGAGCGTTGAAGTCTCCACACACAATAGTCAGGGCAGACGGGTAAGTAGATTCGAGAGGCTCTAAAAACGCCTCTAGCTCAGCCCATGTAGCCTTAACAACGGGTTTTTTTTGGCCTGGGGGAATATAGACATTGACCAGCAAGAGAGTAGTTCTCTTGAAGCTAAGTAGAGCGGCTGTTGCTAAGGAATTGCAGCTGGGTAGGGCTGTTAGAGAATGCGCTAGCTCCGTGGAAATGAAGCAAGCTAGGCCACCACTAGATCTGCCGCCCCTTAGAGATGGAGAGGCAGGCAGGTAGTGGCAGTTATACCCATTAAGAAATATAGGGTCATTCTGCCATGTCTCCTGAAAGAAGATGATGTCAAATTGCTTAAGGTAACACAAAAATTGTTGATTATTTTTCTTGGCGTGCCAACCCGCGATATTCCAAGACAGCACTTTTAGGCCCCGGGCCCTTCGGGGAGCTGGATCTATGTCACCACCATGTCCAGCAATTCTTTGGTGTCTAAAAAAACACACCCGTTGGTTCTTTTCGAGGCTGGCTGCTTGGAGAGAGTGTAGTGATCCTCTTTTCTTGGTGATTTGGGGCTAGATTTTGGAGTTGGGGGGGAAGCTAATTCATTCGGAGACAATTTAAGATAGCTGTGCCAGGAGCTTTGAGGTTTCACGCCTTGCTTTGGTCTTACTTTATTGTACATCACAGGGGGCTCTGATTGTAATTCCACGTCTACACATTTAAAGGTGCCTCTGTGGGTCACAGGAAGAAAGAGAGCTATTTTGCACTGGCTCTGACCCCTGGTCCATCAAGCTCAGTACTGACTACAATGACTGGAAGCCGGTCTCTGGGGTTGCTGGCAGGAGTCTTTTCCCAGTCTAGCCCAAGCGTAATCAGTGCAGAAAGAGCTGTTAAGCTCTCTGCCTTGCTGGGGGTATATGTGTGTTTAAGGCAAGGGTAGTGTTCTCGACGCTACCAGCATGAGTTTGACCAAACTGCGGGAGGCAGTGGAAGACAGAAGTGCCTGGCGTGCTCTGGTCCATGGGGTCACGAAGAGTCGGACACGACTAAACGACTAAACAACAACAAGGCAGGGGTAGGCAACCCGTGGGCCAGATGCGGCCCAATTGCCTTCTCAATCCGGCCCCCAGATGGTCCGGGAATCAGCCTGTTTTTACAAAAGTCCTTTTATTTAAAATGCATCTCTGGGTTATTTGTGGGGCATAGGAATTCATTCATTCCCCCCCCCCAAAAAAAATACAGTCCAGCCCACCACATGGTCTGAGGGACAGTGGACCGGCCCACGGCTGAAAAAAGTTGCTGACCCCTGGTTTAAGGTCTACTCAGGATGCCGGTTCTGGAACGGTAAGGATGCCCACGTGGTGGCAGTCCAAGTATACACAGAGCCCTTGGAACCGAATCCCTGCGTAAGTCGCGATTTATGAGTTTACTCCTGTGTAAGATGCGATGTCATGATTTACTCATAAGTTTAGAAAGCAGCCACGTCTAGTCAAGCTCTGCCTGGCGAGAATTCTAAAAGCTTCCCTGGAGAAAGGCAGAAAAAGCTAGAGGAAACAGCAAGCGAACATATACAGAAGTAGGAGCCATTAGCTGCCCCTCTCTCTGTGTGTATTATCTGCTTGGCTTCCAAAATTTCTAGAAAAAAGGCAACACTAAGCTACACATGCTTACATTTCACACAATTATTATTACTTGATTATTTATTAATACATGAATTGCCTTTGACGCACATCCCAAAGTGATTTACAAACATACCATAGTTTATATGGTTTATGTTTATATGGGGAGGTTTTTAATGTTTTATGTCATACTGTGTTTTAATTTGTTGGAAGTTGTCCAGAGTGGCTGGGGTAACCCAGTCAGATGGACAGCATATAATTATTATTATTATAGCTAAAAATAGTTTTGATAACAGTACAATAAACAAGTAAATGTAAGATTAGAAAATACAAAATGAACACCTAATGAGTGTATCTTGTATCCCGGGTCTACAGCTCGGCAATACTACTGCTCCACTTTCCCAGATTTCTAAGCATCTGAGAAAAGGTAATTTTGCTGGTGTTAGTATCATGGTTAGATACCATGCATTCACAGGTGCCATACAGCACATATGTAATGCCGCCACTGTACAGTTCCTTGCCATATAAATCTGCTAAGTTCAAGGTATACACTACAGTGGTACCTCAGGTTAAGTACTTAATTTGTTCCGGAGGTCCGTTCTTAACCTGAAATTGTTCCTAACCTGAAGCACCACTTTAGCTAATGGGGCCTCCTGCTACCGCCGCGCTGCCAGAGCACGATTTTTGTTCTCATCCTGAAGCAAAGTTCTTATCCGAGGTACTATTTCTGGGTTAGCGGAGTCTGTAACCTGAAGCGTATGTAACCTGAAGCATATGTAACCCGAGGTACCACTGTATTACTGTTAGTGTATGAAGTCCAAAATGGTATACCTGAAGGACCACCCTGTCCCTTATACACTGGCCAGCATACTGAGATCATCTGGGGAAGGCCTCCTGACTATCTCTTGGCTACCACATGTTTGTTTAATTTCTGTGCAAACTAAAGCATTTTTAGCTTAGCGGCACCAGTGCTTTAGAACACTGCCCCTATTAAAATCAGACAAGACACCTACAATTCTGATATTTCATGACCTGCTGAAAAGTTTAGCTTGCTAAGCATTTTTAGAGAATCATGTTGATTCAGTGTAGGTCATTTGTTCTATACGTTATGATTTTATCATTTCACTATTAGCTTCTAACTTTATAATTAGTTTATTGCATACCACCACAATAATTTTTAATGAGTTGGCAGGTTATAAATACTCTTATAAATAAAATGAATTATGTCTTATTTAGTTTGGTCCTATGCATATGTGGGGAGTGCAAAGACCTAGGGGTATACTGAAGATTAGGGCTGCAATCCTACACCCACTTGCTTCTAAGTAAACCCGGTCAACTTCAATGGGACTCGCTTCTGCCACTTATCCCACTCCCTGCTCCATTCAAGGATCATTCACTGTCCTGTCATAATGCCTAATAAAACATATTATCGCTCACTGGAAGAATCCGCGACCAGAAAGAAGAGGAATATCAAGAAGATTGGAAGAAATTTAAAGACTATTTGAATAAATATTGTAATATTAAAAATTAGAAATTACTTGAAAGTACCAATTAGGCCTAGGATTAAATTAAGATTTAATTAAATAAATGAGATCTATAATGTTAAGAAAAGTTAATAAATTTGATTATAATTAGAATAATGGTATTGGAAAACTGCTACATCCAGTTACAAGGAAATTCAGATGGGAAGGATTAGAGGAAGTTAAGCAATATGTTTATGAGGTTGGAAGTTTAACTAATTAATCAACTCGTATTGTTTATATTTCTTTCTTGTCATTTCTTGTATTTGTTTTATTTCTCTCTTGTTCCTTTTTATTTTTGTTTCATTTGTTTTACAGTATATGTTATATGTGTAAGAAACTTAATAAACATTATTGGAAAAAATAAAATAAAACGTATTATCCAGTAAAACCTGCAGCTGGACTTGGTTATGCTTGGTGGTTGTGGAAAATACATTCCATATAGCTAGGAACAAAAAAACCCCACAACTTTACAGGAACCAACAAATACAAGTGTTCCTACACTTACACTAAGGCTGTCTATGGCTTTTGATCATGCACCACTCAGAGAAAACCAATATACTGAACAGCAAAATGTAATAAATTTGGAAAATAGTAATTCCACAGTAATTTGGAAAATAACTTTGTTATAACAGAAGCAACCACCTAGATCTGTCTGAAACATGATCCAACAAAAATGGAAGTCTGGGCTTTGAAATAGTCTTCCTCCTCCTCACTCATTTGCAGCCGAAGGGCATGCTTATTTTCCATATTTCATCATATTGATCTTCTCTATCTTTAAATCAAAAGCACTTTGCTGCTGTTCTTACAGTAAGAGAGTAAACACATGCCATATATTTGAAGCTAATCACTTAAGAAACTTTGAGGCTTTTATTTTTTAATAAAAACAAAAAAAACCCGCAAGCCTATCATTTCGGCACCCTCATACTATGCGCACAATTATGCCACTCTTCAGGAACATTAAAATGCATCATTAAGTATTCAGGATTGTGCAAGTAAAGCAGTGACAAGAAAACACAACACGTTATGAACCAAAGCATTGTTTACTGGCAGAGACCTTTTCAGTACAATGTCCACATTTTACACTTACACACACACACACACACACACACACACACACACAAATCCTTGCTGCTTTAGCTCATTGCTATTCAATCCAAAATCACCCCATAGAGCACCCAACTGTATGAAAGGCTCTGTCAGAGAAAAATAATCTACAATTACATAAATGGAACGGTTTTAGAAGAGTTCAGAAACACAACAATTTTACTAAAGATGCAACATGGATTGTTTGATGACAAGCCTCCTGAGACCTTTCCACGCATTACGCAGTTTGACAAGGACCCAGTTCACATGTAGCATGAAGGTAAACAATACCCATGTGTGAATGAGCAAGATAAAAATCAGAACCACTTCAGTCCTCCTCCAGTCCTGCAACTGCCACACGACCCGGAGCTATGCCATTGTTTGGCTGAGCAATACGTCTTAGCCAGAGTTCAGGATTTGTCTCCCCACAGTAAAACCACAAGTGGCAAGCCCATAAACAGGTTGTTTTTTTAATGAAGATTATGAATAAATTGACAATGAAACCAAAGTTAATATCAACAACATGCTGCTCAGTAAACCAGTCCTTTCCTGTACAACATTCTGGGATTAATCTTCAAACTCATATTTGGTGTCCTTAAAGATGTATAGAGGAAAACCAAACAGTAATCCTTAATTTAAAATTTGCTCTCCTAAGAAGATGTATGCAGAAAGTTCATGGGCTGCATGAGCAAATATTTGGGGTTATGTCCCTAGGAGTTGCAAGCAGATACACTTTAATTATTACAGCAGCATAGTATACATGGTCATTCATAAAATATATGAATTATGAAGTTGGAAACTCGATTTAAAATTTATGATTTACATCAGCTTCTTTCCTTGTGGAGCTAAAATGCCCTTGATTTAAAAAGCAAAGCAAAACTCAATTCCACCCTGTTACGAAGGCCTTATAAATAAATCCACGGAAGTTACTAGCCTAAAACAAAAATTACTACTCTGCCAAGGGCTGGTAAGAAGAAAGACAGAGAGATCCACCCTGCTATGGCACTATGGCAGCCCACTCCGTTTCTATGGCACATGCAGAAAGGAAATGGAGCACTGTGACTCTCCTCTGCCATACAGCTCTCACTCAACTGCTTAAATACAAGACCTGATCTTATCACAATACATAAACGGCTTCATCTAAGCCTTGTATTTAAGCACTAACCTGGCAGCCCTAGGGACAAGGAACTGCATGCAGATAAGTGCATGAAATTCAATGCCAGCAACTGTGGGGCTGCTGTAGGAGGGTTATTCAATGGTTATTACAGGAAACCTTGAACCACATAAACCTGATAAGCAACATACACACACCCATAATCAATACATATTTTTGTAGAAAACTCTTGGGGGGAAATTCAGAACTGTATTCAGGACTATTACAAAGGAGCTAAGACTTGTGACCAAGATTCTATACAAAATCCTCTTCCTGGGGGGGGAAATGGTCATAGTATTTAAGCTGACTTTCATATTTAAAGTGGAACAGAATGTCCCAGGTGGTGCAGACAATCTATGATTAGGATTTGTAAGCAAAATCTGGATGATCATGGATGCTGAAACAGTTTGTTTCCAGGTTGGCAGTGGGTTGGACTAAATGACCTCTGAGGTACCTTCCACCTCTATTATTCGAGGGTTTGATTTAGGTTCAAAAGATTCAACCCCAATTCAGAAACAGTGATAACTTAAATTTCAGTCATTCTCAGCCCAGTATCTGTCCCATACACCCACTTTCAAATTCTCTGTATTCATGGGAAAACTCAAATCTACTAAAAAATCATGACAGACATTGCTGTAAGATCACTTCCACATATAATTTGTCATGGACGTAACAAACTTGGAGGTGGCCACTGGGGAATTTTGATCCATGCGTAAGGAAGTTACGTTGTTATGGCTGCAGAGGCAGGCAATGTACACGTTGTGATATTACACTGATTTAGATGCAGAGAAGGCAAAAACTGGCATTCCATTACTTAACTTTAATCCATTCCCTCCTGCCCCTCTCCCTACCCCATGCTCCCCATGTTCCATTAAAAAAAGAAACACCAGCTTGTTTAGAACCCACATAATAAGAGCCAATAAGCAGATCTGAATTCAGATGGGCTTACCCTATTAAAAACGGGGAGCATCATGTAAAGCTTCTCTTCCTGTTCTTTCTGGGTCATGTGCCGAGGTGGATGACACAATTCCGTGAAGAGTCGACGCAGATGCATCAATCCAAGAGCATTATCCTGAGGGCTACATTCCTCCTGCCGGGGTCGACCCATTATCCTTTTCACCATATTCATCTTTGCTGGTTTCTGAAAGACCCCTTTTATTCTGTTCAGGGGGAAAACAGAGTAACAGAATTTGAAAAAAAATGCAAACTAAACAAGAAAACAACAGCAACACACTTAGCTATGGATAATTTATGTGTGGTCAAAAATAAAGAGGGGGAAGAGGGGAAGAATCTGGATCATTATTATATATTGAAGTCAGCTACATATACATCAGGGGCGTCCAACTTCCAAGAGCCTGCGATCTACTCACAGTATTAAAAAACTGTCAGTGACCTACCCATTGTCAGAGTTGTATTGGGGGGGGGGCGTTTGCTGGGGGTTCAAAGATCGACCAGGATCGACCAGGGACACCCCGCAATCGACCTGTTGGACAGCCCTGATATACATTATGACTTCCTCCTACATATGGCACTGGCCATGAATAACTGGCCAAAAATTACAAAGCATAATTCTGAAGTATGGCTTCCAATTGAGAAAAACAGCAATATAAAAAATGCACATGCAATAATTAGGTAACATCTCCACTTTTAAGGCTTTTTACACCATTAAGCTCAAAATGTCTTTGGGCAATGTGGATCCACCAATATTAATCCCATTGTGGAGCATGCAAATATATATGAGGATGCCCTCAGCAGCAATGCTGCCTTTGCATGAACTTCCCAAAATAAATTTACAACCCAAGTTTCTTTCAACGTTCTAAAAGCAAGTGATTTTTAAACACCACGAATTCCTCCAAAGGAGATTTTAAGTCAAAACCTGATGATGGGTCTTCCTCCATATGCCACTATCCCTCAAAGAGAGGAAAAACAAAATCCCAATGCCAAAAAGAACAAGAAAAAATGAGACAAATCTTATCTCACTTATGACTAAGTATTCCTTTCACAGCCATTGTGGGAGCTGCATATGTGGCAATAAAGCAAGACCATATCCTTGTAAACCTGGCAAGGAACCTGAAAGTAAGCTGATCACAGCCCCAAACCAGAGTCATATTTGGGGCCAGACTAGAAGAAATATGGTGATATGCAATGTTTATATTGCAGATGGTTGCATCTGTTTTTCTGAACTTTTTTTTTAAAAAAAAACAACAACTCAGCAACAATAGTAGCCTGTGTGAGTAGGCCCAATCCAGGGGATGGGGTTTAATCCTTTCCCCTTGTGCCATTTCCTCCAATGGAAAACTCTCATCCCAAAGCTACTTTTTGCCTTGAGATAAAAGATATATGAGTGCCTATATATTGCTCCTCCTGAGAGGAATAGCAGCTTGGTCCCAAATCAGTAGCCCACACATCTCTTATCCCTTCAAGATTGGCTAGAGTCGTTTTTCATGTATACATGCAACCCCCAATTTGGGGGATGGGGGTTTGCTTTCTGGGTCATGGTGTGCAATGATGGAGCGTGCATAAGCGCATTACACCCCCTTTTCCAGCCACTTCCAGGTCACCACAATGCACATGTGCACGGTCACACATCAATTGGATGCACGTAAAGCAATCATTGCCTGTATGTCCAAAAAACACAGAACTAGAAATGCCTATCCTATTTCTGGAAGGGGGATGAGACTACAAAACTTTAGTCCTGAAAGAGTTAAGTGCTCTGTATACACTAAACTGAGCATTCCAGATTCACGACACCAAGCTTTACTGAGTTTGAGCTCACATAACTGTAGGTCTATCAAGCACATATCCCTACCTAACCCATTTATCTTGGTTGGCTGAAAGAAGGCTTACTTAATGTGCACGAACAGACACAGATTACAGTTACTAGACAGAGGCCACCAATTAAAGACTGAGTAGCCCAGTTATGTATACTGTTTCTATTTACAGCAACCTAGTCATTTGAAACTGTCTTCAAGTACTAGGTTATTGCAAGTGATTAATCATCACAAGCCAAGCTGAAAAAAACTATCCATTCTACCTTGGGAATACCAGTGGGGTGGTGGTGGAAGGGACAAAATATTTGCTAGGAGCTAATTCCTAGTTTGGAGTTAACAAGGGATAAGATACATTGTGGGGAATATGCCATGTATATATGGGTAAACCCAAAACGTTCCGTCACAAAATTCTTCACCAATGAGTTCTATTCTGCACCATTACTTACTTAAGTTGCCAATTTATTGTGCCTCCAGTATTCATGTGAAAGGGCACCAAGCTATGTGGAACACTGAAACTCTCACAAGAACTGGAAAAGCTATTAAGCCCTGCTCTGGCTTCTGGGACTACAAGGCATTTAGCCACATGCTTTCAAGCCTTAAGTGGAAGATAAATGGTTGTTTACTTTAGAATGGAAACCAAGATTCTTACCATGTTGAATTCTACAAAAGGAACACATATTCTGAGCTTTCACACATTTGTGATACGCACACAGATCCCAAGTTACTGTTTGTTACGAAAGTGTCGCTCAATTCCTCTTACATAAAAGGAAACATGGCGGATATGCAATTTTCAACACCGCACTGTACTGTGACTGGATGTTACAACTGGACATCAATAAGAAACTGTCCAATAGAGCAAAGGGCACCCACAGAGTTCAGAGAAATGAAGTCAGAAGTTCAGGCACTTCGTTTTTTGCTTAGTTCAATCAGAATCTGTGTAATGGTGTATGAGTGTCCTTTTTGACATCCCTGTCAAAAAATATGGAGCTCACTGCATATCAAGATTTGAACTTGTCCCAGATAGAAACACGCTTCCCTAGAATACCTGTATGCAAATGTCTCACAATATATACCCAAACAAACAAAAGTTGTCACTGGAAAGGTTTAACACATATGGCAAGCAGTTAGTTCAGATAAAGTACCTCCAGGCTATATTAAATAATGCAGACACATGGGCAGGAATGTGGGAGATTAATATACATTCATCATGAATCATTACGATATATGATAATTTAGGGGTAAATAATACTGCTGCTTTCAAAACATTTGTTAAAAACAAAAACGGCTAGGAAACGACTAAACAGCACACACTGTATTTAGTTTAACAATAGCTATTATAGGACTACAGAATTGGTTTGTTACTTCCAAAGGGTGTTATTTAAGCAAGCAAGCAGATAATTATCCAAACATTCATCAGGAGACTTTCCCCAGCTTTTTAGCCGGCATACAGAAATAACTCAGCCATTTCAAAACACATTAGTAATAAGATAACATGAAACAGACATATATTTCTTGGGTTTTATAATAGTAACAGTAGAAGCAATATTTATTCTCACTGCTGTCCCAAGTACTTCAGAAGTGTCCCTTTAAGTGTCCCCATACTATGTAGAATGAGAACAGGGTCCACCTTTACGCCTCACATAACTATAAAAGATGGCCTTCAAATAAGCTTATTGAAATTTTCAGTGTTCTCTTCTTTAGACCAAATATGGAAACTGGAATCTCAAAAGATTTAACAGTTTTACTGCATTTAGCATATGTTGAATTTGAAAAACAGATGTCTAGAAACTAATTGTTCCAAAATGTTGTTGTAGGGACGGTTTAAAGAATTAAAAAAATATATATAATACCCAAGAATCCATAATTCACAGGTAGTACACAGCACGAAAACACAAACCATCAAAACTGTTTGGATAAAAGTGCCAAATGCTTCAAGTAAACAGATGTGCATGCCCAAAGTATTTCTTCCTTAAACATATAATTTCAGTAATTATGTTGAACTGCAAAGGCCAAGCCAAAATTTATAGTTGTGCTGCAAAGGACCCAGAGCAATGCTCATATGAAAAACTTACAAACTTAGGCTATCATTTTTTTAAAAATCCCACTCCATTTTACTACAGACATGGTCAGTGTGCATGATCTCCAATGTTACGTCAAACTAGACCCATTGCAATATATGGACTTAAGGTCATTTATTTCAATGGGTCTGCACTAAATATGATTTTGTGGGATATCACCTTACATTTGGGAGAAAAACATACAAAAATTCTCATTTTCCTGATTAAGCGACTTCTGATAGAAGGCACTCAATGGCTGTAATACAGTGGTACCTCCGGTTGCGGACAGGATCCATTCTGGAGCTCCAGTCAGATCCCAAGGTTTCCACAACCGGAGGTGCATGTTCTGCGCATGCACATGGCACGTGGAGTGCTTCTTCGCATGCCAAGTGGCGAAACCCAGAAAAATACTTCCGGGTTTGCCGCTTTTGCAACCCGAAATTAACGTTACCCGAGGGTAACTTAAGTCGAGGTTCTGCTGTAACTTTCTAAAATGCAAGATAATCCACACTGGATTCTCTTCACAGGGAGAAAAGCTTCAATAATAACAATGGCTCTAGACCAGCATTCCCCAATCTATTGCCCTCCATATGTTTGGGACGGTAACTAATCCGCTTCAGTCAGCATGGTCAATGTTCAAGGATGACAGAAGTTGCAGTCCAAAACATCTCGGCAGAACCACTTTGGGGGAGGCAGCACTAGACAGCAAGAAAGCATCACATTTCACCAACAATTACCAGATACAAGGGATGGGCTCCCAATAGAGTTACTGCAATCTGGAGGGAAGATGTGTATCCGTTTCAACTGATGCATTACAACTATGTAACCTTCATTAAAAAACAAACTGAAACATCTGTGCTGTGTGTCTAGGATTCACAGAATTCTAAGCTACCAATTAGGATTTTAGGATGTACAACGGAACTGTCGCCAAGCAGCTTTCTAGATTCTATAAACTAGCTGGTCACAGTGGATCAAAAAATCTGGAAGAGATCCAGCAGTGATCCGACAGGATATTTCACATTTAACATTTCTACAAATTGAGCACTTTATCCAGTTTGTGATAAACAAACACTAAGCCTGTGTAGCGTTAAATTCTGATTTGGTATTTAAAATATGCATTCCCTGTTATGTTTTCAACAATGAAGAGAGAGGATCAATACAAATCAGAAGTACCACCACCACTTGCACCAAGATATCTACTGCAGTAAACATCTGACCCATGTTTCTCCAGCTGTTTCTCACAAAAGATTACTTTCACAGAGAAACTGTGTGATTTATAAACAGCTCCACACAAAGCATTCATTCACAACAGGCATATTCTAGGAATCTAAAAAGAACGCTAAACAATCATAAGTTATTCACTTTATATAGCTTTTAAAAATATTTATTTTTTCATAACAGTGTACAACTATATTAATAAGATTGTTAAATCAAAATGCAAAGTAACTCACAGACCACTTGCAGCGGTGTATTTCTGAAGACACTGTACCACTTGTAAACAATGTAATGAATCACTGCTCGAAGTGTAAAACATTCAATTAAAAGGAATGAAACATGAGAACTAGAAATCTATCTATCAAGTTTTATTTTTAAATATTATTAGCATATACTCTGTATTAAATAGTTTGTTGAAACACCCCACCATGTTCATTTCCCCCATGACCCAATTTTCATTTCCCGGGCAAAAATGCAAAGCAGAAAAACCTTGGCAACATTTAACACCATTTTCATTGCAATGAAACAAAACATTACTCATGTTCAGCACAAGATCAAACAGAAGGAAGCATTTGTTGCAGGGATATTTTACGGCGTAAAATGATTGCTCTGTCATCAAAAGAAGCATGAAATCTGCTATGCGTTTTGCCTCCTACATAAATGTTTGCCATCTTACCTGTGCTGTGTTTGTTTTGCACTGTCTAACAAATTCCAAAATGTTACACTGGGAACATGTTTGTCACAATTTCACGCAATGATCATCTGACATTAAAGCTCAACCATTTTTCCAAACCAAAAGGAGACAAAATAATTATCCCACCTGGTGCTTTTCAGGTTCTTTGCAGGCATCTTTAAGTTTTAAATCTTCTCTTTTTGAAAGAAAATAACAGCAGCAGCCTGTTTCTTGTTATTATCTACTACTGGTAGCCCCACATGCAGCAAAAATACTTCAGGCAATCCAGGCGAAACTCAGAGCTTTGCACTGGAGTCTCCTGGAGCTTGCTGTACCAGTGTGCAAGCTGGCTTGACGACAGAGGCAAAGGGCTGCTGTTCTATCCAGCAGTACTGCCGGACTTGTTTGTCATAGGATGATGAACCCGTTCTGCTTCAGGCAAGGTCCCCCCTCCCTGCTTGTGTCAACTAACATATGCTGATTAATGTAGCCTTTAGAAAGAACAGGGGGGAACAAAGGGTGGCAGGAGAAAAGCCACTCAAATTCACATATAGGGCAATTTAGAAATGCCTGACTTATGCATTCTTCATGTGTCATTACAGTTTGTACTTCACTTGTGTCAAGAGTGTCTATGGCACTGTACCAACACACAGGAGTAATGTGCTTTATTAGAATCTTTACAGTCTAGAAAGAGGGGCAGGGAATCTCTGGCCCTGCAGACAGTGTCGGGCTACAACAGCCATCGTACCAAAGCATTGGACACAGCCTGCAGCTAATGGGCTCTGGAGTCTAATAACATCTGGAGGGCTGTAGGTTCCCCACCTCTAGTCAAAACGATAGCTCTGGCATTATGGCAGATGTAGTGCTGGAAACTTCAGATATATAAGCTAGGTACCAAATGGCTACTAAAAAAGGTTAAAGGTAAAGGGACCCCTGACCATTAGGGTCCATTCGTGGCCGACTCTGGGGTTGTGGTGCTCATTTCGCTTTATTGGCTGAGGGAGCCGGAGTACAGCTTCCAGGTCATGTGGCCAGCATGACTAAGCCACTTCTAGTGAACCAGAGCAGTGTGCGGAAACGCTGTTTACCTTCCCAACGGAGCAGTACCTATTTATCTACTTGCACTTTGAACTGCTAGGTTGGCAGGAGCAGGGACTGAGCAACGGGAGCTCACCCCGTTGTGGGGATTCGAACCGCCGACCTTCTGATCAGCAAGCCCTAGGCTCAGTGGTTTAACCCACAGCACCACCCGCGTCCCTAAACCAAGGTTACAGTCACCAAAACAGAATGTCTAGTTGCCATTTTTTGGCAAGGCGGCTCTAAAGTCTTGTTTTTCAATGGATGGGCTGACTTTGATTGATTCTCAATTAAACATCTGGTTAGTTCAGATGACAACCTTGAGCTTGGTTAAGAGCTTTGAGAACTCAAAGAAGAAAAGTCACTGATCCAGGGACAGTCCACATAGATATTGGCCTATTCCGACCTCTTTTTCTTAATGGCAACTTCTCCTGCTCAAGCTGAACAGAAAAAGAATTTTGGTTCCAGAAATTCTTTACAATTGTGTAGATAAAATATAACTGAAAGAATTCTCCAGCATAGGGTATTTGTGTGCAAACAAACCAGATCCAATGATCCCTAGGCATGCACCTCCAAATTGTGCAGATGTCAGGCGCCATCATGGTGCTTAGGCAACTAGACTTGGTCGCAAGTGGTCAAAAGCCTGGTGCAAAATGTGCCTGGTGCCTGGCTAATTTTGAACACTGCGGAGATGCTGTGTTTGCAGAACCCAAAAGTTACCTATACATCTAGGATTCCTAACTTCCAAAGTAACGCGATAAACAAAGACTCATAGATCTTGCCCAGCAAGGAGTTACATCAAGAGCGCAAATTACACTTGTATTAGGTATAATTTCTTTTGAGCAGCCAAACAATTCCTGAATAAAGACAGGGCATTATTCATGCACTTAACTGTGCCAAAATTCAGCTCCCCACAAATACATGTGTGCCACACTAAACACTGCCTCAGGTGCCATGACTAAAGAAACAAAGAGTGTAAATGTAATAAAATAAATAAAAAGCAGCCACATGCATACTGAGACAAATGAAATGCCAAATGATGACTAAAGACAGCAAGGGCATGAGCAATCTAGTGGCCCAATTCCCATTGCTCAACTGTGGTGAAGGGCCAGCAAGTGTTGCGATCCAAAATTTCACTTTCTGTATCAACAGCAAAATGAAGACTCGTGTTTACCCACATATTGAAAGAGTGAGGGGCATGGTAATATGAAAAACAATGGAGGTACTTGTATAGAGGTATCTCTCCTAAAACTGCTGACACTGATGGCTCAATTAGCACAAGCATTTCTGGTTGCCAGATGGAACAATGACCCCCCCCCACTGAATGCTGTTCTAGGGGTTCTCTTGACTCTCCAGAATGGATGGGGTTTGTGTGGGTGGCACAGTGGGAGTCCTTCTGGCTTCTGACAATGTGCTGTGTTAGTTGTGCCACTGACTTTTATATCATTTCTTGAATTCTAGTTGCCAACTTCAAGAGAATTAAGTCATTTCCTTCCCAGGATTTTATTGGGGGTGGGGATACCGATACTTTCCCTGGGTTAGGTACTGCAAAAAAAAGCTAGATTATTAGTAACCACAGTATTGTCAACAAGGAAAGACCAACATAAAAGTTACTGCTAATGTAGAACATTTATGCAAAGTTAGAAAAAGCATTTAGAAGAATTCCAGGTGCATTCTACTGGGCCAACTGGAAAATACATAGTTGCTCAGATATCATAGATGTTTCACACATTACTTGTTCCTGACAGATTAACTGGGTTACAGATGTCTTCCACTGACATTTAAACAAAGCAAAATAATTTAGAAAGAAATTAGCTAAATTGAATTTTTAAGAAAGGTACAATTCAGCATGGAGTTAAAAAAAATTATCCAGCAATTCTCTGAAATATCACCACTACAATGTAAAGCTACCCCTTCAGTCAAAAAGTTAATTTAGCCTGAAATTAAGAGAAACATTTCTGTCATTACTTGGGCAAAAGAATGAAGAAGTTATCTCTCAAAATCAATGTGACGATGACTAATGAGGGATTTTAGGCACACAATGAAGCAATTTCCTATTTTTGTAATAACAAAATCTACAACCGCTATGGTGACTATTCAGAGTTATGACAGGGATTGCTAAATTCTAGGCATCCAGAAATACAAATTGCTGAAAAGGGCAGAAATAGCATGTGCATCACCATTTATACATGGTGTGGGTAGGACCCAGTCTCCTCCTCTTATTGCCTTAGTTCCTATTTTTCCAGTTCCAAGTGCATCTCCCCTTTCTTATAGACGTTTCTTCTTTGTGCTCATCACTTTCTTTTCCCTTAAAAGCCTGCCAAGGATGAAGGGTCTAATGGAAAACCGTTTCCCAGAGCACAACTCTAGGACCTCTTTCAATACTAGCAGCCAACTATGGAAGATATGATGTAGTAGTAACAGCAACAAGAACAATAGGTATGATCATATGCAATTGCTCTCCATGACTCTGAATAACCACAACAAGCAAATGCTCTTTGAGGAAGGCATCCCAAGCAAAGGTACCTTTTAATCAAGTACTTCCAGGATGGAAGGATGAGAAAGCATTAGCTAGAACAGGCTCTCTTACCATCTAAAATCACAAGCCCCCTTCACTCCAAACTTGCATTAAAATTTGCTACACTCCAGGTTATGTCAAAAGTTCTTTCTACACCAGTTTTCCTTCCATCTTATTTAACAATCCTGATTCAATGAATCAATCAATCAATCAGCGAGCAGAAAATCCCAGGGGATCCTTGTTTATGTGATTCAGATAATGTGAGAATCTGTACTCAAATGGTAATAATTATTGAATTCTGAACAATGAGCTTTGGCATGGACGGCCTATATAAGACTCTATTTGATTTTTAATGCAACTCAGGAAGTTCCCAATTCAAATCCCCCCAATGAAGATACTAGGTGGCCTTAACAGAGGCTTCATCTTCAGACTCAAGCAAAGGCCTTTTGTGGCACCCTAACGGTCCGTCCCCACCACTGAAATTAGGGTCACCATGCAGTCTGCAAATCTGCCCCAAAAGGTTGGTAATCCCTGCCCTATGGGACTGTTATGTGGTTAACTGAAAGTATGAAGTGATTTCAAAGTCCAGAAAAGTGTAGGGTTAAATGATGTACGGTATTGTTATTAAAGGAAGCATAGTGACCAACTGCAAATTTAGGTTTCATGACACATTCCACCTCCACATAAGAGCAAATGGAAGAATGAGAATATATCTGTAAAGTATTGCACACTGGCAGTACTATGTAATTTATTAATGGCTCTACTGTTCTCATGCTGTGGGGTTGACAACACTGTCATCACCAAACCTGCCAATACAATACAAAAAGTACCATTAACCTTTTATTGAATTTAGCAAGTCACAGTAGGTGCAGCATTTCCATCTGGCACTGCCATTTCTAATTTGACAGCTTCTTTAAAAGCTTTCGGGGTCTGAACAGCAATGCAAGGCACTCTGGGGTAAGGGACATTCTCTAGAACAACACTACAAGGCAAATGCTATTTCTGAGCAGGGGCTGCAACACAAACGCCCTGTCAAAGTAGGTAAGTGATGGTGAAGAATCACGTAGTAAATAAGGTTTTGATTACGAATGACGCAAGAGATTGAAGTTAACAAGGAAGGGAATATTGCATGTTCATGAGCCAAAGCTACCCACATGCACTACAATGTATTATGGACTACAGTAATGGTTCCATTTAGTTGATTCAGATCTCCTTCAGTCCTAAGACTCAGCTAGCTACACAGCTACAAATAAAACATTTCAAATGTGTTGTAGAGTGCAATATACAAATGTGACACTAGATGGTGACAGCGAGCTACGCAAAATTCAATGTATTTTTCAAAACAAAATTTTAAAAAACATTTTCGCAGTGTACATTGTGTGTGTGTAGATTCCACCCAAGTTGCAGATGTAATTTTCACAATGATTAAAAAAATCAAGGGTTTGATGAAGACAGAACACTGGCCACTTTTAGGGAACACAGCCATGGGCCCACACACATTCCTTAATAGTTGTATTATATAATCGGTCCAGATCAGTTACACATGTCAAAGAGTGGGGAATGCCTGATCAAA